AATATCATTTAGTATGGACATCATGGAACATGACGAAACAATATGGTGGCATGATTAAAGAACGTAAAAAAGATTACACTACGTCAAAAGAAATCTGTGGGTGGCACGAGAACCCACTAACCAAAGAATAGATCCACCCTTATATGGATGTATCTTTAATAATTTATCGGACAGTCGAACATTCCAAAAAAATTAATTGCATATATATATATATATAGAGAGAGAGAGATATAAATAGACAGATAGATAGGGAGAGAGAGAGAGAGAGCGAGCGAGAGAGAGGGCTAATCATGTAAAAACCACAAAATACTTCAAATCTCGGAGAACGAGTGTTAATATATTGTTTATCATGATTTTTTTTGCCACAATCTTGGATTTAAGATATTGTTTACCGTATATAAGTTTTACAACACGAAACTTTTTTATGTTTATTTTTTATTTCATGATATAAAACAACTCATATTATTCAATCTTTTTTGTGTTCTCGTTTAATTATCCCTCACGACCGTTGGGAACCTAAAGTTGATCAGCAAAAGCCCACAATAAGACACGTGACACATTCATCAGAAATACAGACGTGTAATTCATTATTAATGTGTTGTTCACGATAAATATTCATCATATGAGGAGAAACATGGTTTGATGTTTATCGTTCATGAGTTTCTATCAAACGAGAACAGTGACCAAATAAAAGAACACGAAGATGGCCTACACTAACGTAACAGTCAACGCACGGGTGTCCGGGCCACTAACTCAGATCACGACCAAAGTTGTGTGAATTACACGTGATTTCACTATAAAATTAAATGTAATTTAAGGGTTTTATTTTTTTATTAATTGGTTATCGTTTTTATATAAACTTGATTTTCTCAAAATATATAATAGGGAAATTGACTCAAATGACAATTTCCCACACCCAAATTGGTCTCATAACAATTTCTCTCTTAGGTTTATCCAAATCTTATTACTTTCGCGATATTCAAATCCACAATATTAGCTAAAAGACAAAAAAGTTCAAATTCAACCAGTTTACCACCGTAATTGCAGATCTGTATTGAATTTGAATTTCTTTTTTATCTTTTAGCTAGTTCTATAATATTACAGACTTGAATATTACATAAATAGTTATATTGGTAAACTTAAAAGAGAAATAATTAAAAGACCAATTTAACATTAAAAAATAATTATTTAATTTAATTTCACTAATACAGTATATACAATGAGATTGACATAACATACGATGATGATTAAGGAAGTACACAAAAACAAGACATAAGAAGATTCTAATTTTGCGACATGATCATACATGTTTCATGAAATGTGGGCCACATATTTTCTTTTATTAATTGACATTCAATATAAGTTTTATGAAATAATATAACAAGAAAAAGAAAAATATAATAACATTTTAAACTATTACGTTATTTTAGAAATTTTAGAGATTTAAAAAAGTTTGCTCCAACAACTATTATAAACTAGAATGGTACTCGTATAATACATCGAAATATATCTTGATTTTAATGTTTTATTTTGTTTTTTTGTATGTATCGATGTTATAATACGATTTTATGTGTATTTAAAAAACGATAATGATTTTATTTTTGAATAAAATATAAATTTGAAAACAATATATCAATATTAGTATCAAATTAACTATTTAAAAGTTCTCATGTTTTGTGTAATTTCTTTAATTTAATTTTTTTAATTATAATTTAATTTAAGTTTGATAGCGAATTGTTTTATTTTTGGTTTAATAATATAATATTTTATAAAGATAATAATTAAATATTATGTTATAACTCAATGATTATCCTAATTATATTTTAAATTTTTTATATTTAAAATGAGATGTTTATCCTATATTTGATTATATTTATCTACAGTTAATCACACGAATTCAGACATACAGCTTTAATGAGTTGTATTTATGCACAATTACTTGTAATCTTGAATTTTAAGTAACATGCATCAATAAACAGTACTTTATGTATAAAAATTATTTTTAAAAGTGTCAAATGTTTTATAATATAGTATAGATTATTCTCTAAAATTGAAGGAAAAAAGTCGGAAAATGAATTATCCTCACCTGAAGTATTGAACGCCATTTGAGAGAGATGCCTTTCTAAGGCTTGAAGATCATCTAATCTTCTACCCCTAATCGTTGTTCTCCAATCCCAAGCACCACTCCAAGAACCATTAAAATAAGTCCATCTTTCTTTGAAATAAAAATGGTTTTTAAGAGTTTTTGTCAAATGCTTTATAATATAGTGTAGATTATTCTCTAAAATAAAAGAAAAGAAGGTCGGAAAATGAATTTTTTTTCTAAATTTAAAAAATAATAATATAACATATCTGTTGAAAATGCTTCGGACATAATCACCAATTTAAATATAAACAAGTTATTGCAATGTCCTGTGGAATCACAAGTGGGGAAGGTCTCATGTGACAAATTTGGTCGACTTATTTTATTTCTCCAATCAATTAAAATAATATTTTAAATCGATTGGATCTGACGTATTATATGTTAAATATCTCGATTAAAATAAGAATATCTATATATATTATAAAAAATTTGATATAAACTCTTAAAAATCATTTTTTATATATAAAGTACTGTTTATTGATATATGTTACTTAAAATTTAATATCACAAATAAATTGTTTGTAAATACAATTTATTGAAGCTTTATTTTTGAATTCGTGTAACTAACTATATATTAACATAATTAAATACGGAATAAACATCTTATTTTAAATATACACAATCTAAAATATGATTAGGATAATCATTACTTATAACAAAATATTTAATTATTATCTTTATAAAATATTATATTATTAAATGTTAAATAAATTACTTTGTCATTAAATCCAAATTAAATTATGAGTAAAATATTGAATTAAAGAAATTACACAAAAAACGAGAACTTTAAATAGTAAATTTAATACTAATATTGATATATATTTTTCTCAAATTTTTATGATATCTTTAAATTATATTTTATTCAAAAATAAAAATAATATCATTTTCTCAAAACCACTAGAAAAACCATATTATATCGATAGAGACAAAGAATAAAATAAAACATTAAAATTAAGATAAATCTCGTTGCATTACGCGAGCACCCTTCTAGTTTCTATAATGTCTTCTTTTGAAATGCAAAAAAAAACATGTTTAATAATACTGCCATGACGTTTTACATGAATTATGTAAAGTTGGAGAAACTAAAAAATATACTGGTTGGGCTACCCCAAAGGTCAATATTGTTTTCTTTCATTTTTTTAAATATGTAATATTTATATACAATAAAAAAAAAAAATAAACTCACACCTTTTTCCCATTTAGTGAGGTCTGAACCCCTGATCTCCTAAGAAGTTAAAAACTCACATACCGCATTTGTGAACATTTATCTGAAAAGATATTTTAATCACTAATGAACCTCTCTGTTGGATTTCAAAACAGATAAGTTGTGAATATTTATCTGAGACAAAAGAACAAACATATCTTACAGGATCCTCAGTATAATCTTTGATTTCTACTCATTTATTACGTTTTGTTGATAACAACTTAATATTATTCTTTCCGTCAAGCATTTGCTTTGGCGTTAGATACTTTTTGCAACAACAAAAAAACAACACGTTGACAAATTGGAATTCTTTTATATAACTTATTTCAGAAGTTAAATGATTTTTGTAACAACTTTAATATTTCAGTACCGGCTTTTAAACTCTAAGTACGAAATTACAAAACGATAAATTTTGGTTTATATGCTTACAACATCAAATGTGACATGTATGATTAAATGTCGTGCTATTTAAAAAATAAGTTGGTTTCAATGAGAATGAGGGTTAAGATAAAAAAACATAAAAAAAATGTATATTAAAATGAGATGCACCAGATAAATCATTGTATTAAATACCTTTAAAAAGTAAAGATGAATAAAAAATAAATAAAAATTGAAAAAAGTATTAAATTTTTTTTTTAATTGAAAATTGTTGGATCAATCGTTATTACGAGAGATTTTTTTTTTGAAAACAAAGAGAATATGGATGAGATGAAGGGAACGTGAATACAATAAATGTGAGAAATATTATCATAAAATATATTTTTTATTTATTTAAGATTAAAATTTAAATATTAATTAATATATATTTGATTATTTATATGTTTGTTTTGATATGTATTCGTTTCACATATGTTTGATTAATTATATGTTTGTTTTTATATGTATTCGATTTATAACGTGAATCCTTTTACTTGTATTTTTAATTTCTCAAACACATAAAATGTTTATATTATGAAGTAATATATATTAACTAATACAATAAATCCAAGTCATAGATAGAAAAAAAATCATATGATTAGCATATGACGCATCGGATCTTAAGGTTATCACAACTTTATAGGTTCTTAAACGAGCACCCCTCATGTCATACACTTATGTGTGTGTGTGTGTGTGAGTGTGTGTATATATACACACAGGGGGAGAGAGAGAAAGTCATGTTTATACAAGAGCAGTAACCAAATAAAAAACGGCCAAATCATATGTGATTTTATATTTATTTATTTGATTAACCTGGATATCCAATCCGCTATACGAGCCGACTAATTCCAAGACGACCACATGCTTTGCAGATAGCTCAGAGTCACCGCATTTGAACCTCCGTGGCCACAAGGAAATTTTTATTCCTCCCTGGATTTGAACTTGGGACCTCCAGGTATTTTTGATATTTGAAGTCAAGCTCAAACCAATTAGGCACTACCCTTGTGGTTTTGATTTTAGATTAAAATCACATGTCATTCACGCTACTTTAACCGTGATCTGAAGTCGCCCGCATAACCTTGCATTAGCAATTAGTGTAAAATAACATGTGATTTTTTACATGATTAATTGTTTTCATATTTTTTTTATTAAGTTATTGTTTTCGTTTGAACCTCACTCCGTCTCTTTATATATATATATATATATTATTTTTAATTTCAGAAAAGAACCATAAAATAAATCTAAACAAATAGAATTTAAAAGGAAATCATGCACATTTTCTTCTAAGCTTTAAATATATCTAAACATAGATACTTGAGGGATATTTCCGTCTGATAGAGTACGAGGGTCCAAAATGAAAAATCTCAAAACTTGTATCCATTTCTTTCCTGCCCTAACTCATTTTCCTCCACACCCCCACAAAATATCTATATTGTCATTTCTAACCCCCAAACAAAATACTATTGCATAAAAAGTTCCGACTGCAACAAAGTGTAATAATTAGCAGCCTCGTCTTCAAGCTCCCACAACCCATCACAAAATGCCATCGGAAAGTCATCAAACCCCCCGCCGCTGATCTCATCATCACCGCCACCGTCGCCACTCTCCACCCTACTGGGTATTCCGAGCTCGTCATCGGAAGCTTCTAGAAGGTGTCTAATAACCCTTTCTTTCTCATCATTATCATCGTCAAGTTCTTGTTTGACAGAAGGGTTTGAGCTATCCGGGTCGGGTTGCGGTTGTTGAATGAAATCAAGCAATGGGTCGGAAGTGAGAGTTGTGAAGAAATCGAATAAATCTTGGGTGGTTTCTTGTTGTTCATTAATGTAAGAATTTCTATGGCGTTTTGTTGTATCGATATCGGAGTGGTGGTCGTCGTCGTCGCGGTGGCGTTTGGGGTGTGATTCTGCCATGGAAGATGAAAAGGAGGGAGTAAAGTGTAAAATTTGGGAGAGAGAAAGGGTGAAAGTGGAATGAGGAGAGAGAATAAGGCGGGTGGAAAGCATTTATATAGAGGGTAGGGACATAATGGTCAAATTGGATTTTTTGGGAAAAATAAAAACAATTAAATAATTATTAAATGCTTGTCTAGGGTAGAGGTAGACCATCCTGAGACCTTGAGCCATATATGAAAATTCATTTTTATTTTTCTTAATTGCTTTTTTTTTATTCATCTGAAGTTCTGAACTACTTAAGAGTGTAAATAAGTCGAGTCAAGTATTACGTTATTCGAGATTGATTCGGTTTCGTTAAATTACAAATCTCAAACTCGAGATAACCGAGTTCGAGTTTAAGTAGTTTTTTAAAAGCTCGACTCGCTTACACCCCTAGATGCGTATTAGCTCAGTTGATAAAGGGTGGAGTGACTTTGTCTAAATAAGAGGCAGGTCTAGGAATCGATCATATACCCTTTGTTAGTCTTATATGCTGATTAAGTTAAAAAAATGTTCTGTTATATTGGTATCATTGAAAGTGGTTTCTGTGTTAAGCTGATTGAGGTTGTCAATAATCAGCTTAATTAATAATCTAATTAACTATATTTTATAGTATAACTAAAATAAGCTACTAATAACATATATTATTTAAATCGTTTGTTGCATTTTTTTTATGATTAAAATAGAAAGAAAAATAATTTAATCTTTGTAAAACTTTCCAAAATATTTTTAGAAAGTATTAATATATCATTGATCATATCATTTTCATTTGCTTTTAAACCAACGAAGTCATTATGAACAATTTCCTGTTCACGNATATGGTAAAAAATAATTAAAAATTAAAAAACAATATATGAATTGTTATAATTATTATTGATGAGATTAAAAATTAAATAGGATGATTAGTATTATGTAAAATATTAAGGGTAAAAATAAAAAGGTGGAAAAAAAGATTCTTGAAGTTTATTCATACGTTACTCCAAGTAATTTTAATTCGAATTGAGACTTTTACAATAATATAAAAAAAACAAGCTAAGTTTTTTTTATAAACCTAAATATCGAACCCGCTATGTGAGCCGACTAATTTTAGGATGATCACCCACTTTACGGGCAGTACGGAGTCGTCGCATTTGAACTTCCATGACCAGAAAGGGATTTTTTGTTCTTTCTTGGATTCAAACCTGGGACCTGCATGTATTTTTGATATTTGGAGCCGAAGTTTAAGTCAATCGGACACCACCCTTGTGGTTAACTAAGTTATTGCCATCGTTGTTCAGAAAAGTACTGATTCTTTCAAAATAAGTATTTTTTAAACCTAACTTACTTGAATTATAATTAAAAAAAGTTGAATCAAACTGATCATACAAAATTAGATTTTTATAATTTTTAATTTAACATTCATATTGATATATTTTTTCTGTGTTTTTATTATTGGATCTTCAAGTTAACAAAGGTTCAACATCCATTTCGTTTGAAGGTAATTTTTTTTAAAGAGATGTTGCATAGATTTTCCTTTCTAAGTTTACGGCAAAAAAATTCGTTTCTAATTTGTACGGTCATATAAAACAATCTCAAAATGTTCATCTAGTTTAATTAAGGGCTGTTTGGCAGTTGCTGGATGGTTTTGTACATAATGTTTAAGAGACTCTTATAATATAATGTAAAATAAAATATAATTGTTTGGTAATTATTCAGAATGAAATTAGGGTTCTGAATGGTTAAGAGAAATCCAAGATACGAAATATTCATAGGGTTTTACAAACTTGTTATTTGTCAAACAAAATTCATCTCATAACGATTCAGATATTGATTCTTAATGGAACTATTAAGAGGTAAACAACCAAATCATAATATCTAGATTCATGAATGACTCGGTTGTTTTTGATTTAAAATGTTAATCATAATTAACGTATTTGACCATCTTCAATTAATATTCAGATTATAACAAATAAACCCTCATCAATTTATAAACATCTCATTTGAATGATTTGTACTACTTAAAGAATTTGTTTTGAAACTCTCTCTCTCTCTCTCTACATACCTACATATATGGATACATACATACATATATATATTTATGAAACAAATATATGTTAATCTACACTAAATACAAGTCCCAGATAAAAAATAAAAAATGATGTGAAATAACACATGATACATCAGTTTTCAAAGTTATCATCGGTGACATATATATATATATATATATATATATATATATATATAAAATGTGGTGTACGATTTTTGGCTGATTAGGTCCACGAGTTATGTGTCTACGAACATCATACGTTTTATAAATGGATAATCATTAATAAGAAAAATATATAAATTGATTATTAAAATTGTTAAAAAAAAAATAAAAATTGCAATTTACAAAAATAGTGTTAATATTTAAAATTAGAATACGACATGTAGCGAAAAACAAATGAATGCTTTGGAGATAATGAAAACGAACTTCTCCCATCTTAAAATAGATGTAAGGTCGTATTTTTAGGTTATCTTGGAATAAACGTTACATTTTTGTTTTTAATATATTTCTTTTTCTTAAAAAATATATATTTAGTAGGAAAAAAAATATCAAAATCTTAATTTTAACTTTTTTTTTTAATTTGAGAATACTAAAATTTATATTATTAAAATATTTAATTCATTTAATATAATATTATTTATATCTTTATAAATTTTTAATCCAATTATTTTTATTGGTGGAATATAAAAAACAATCAATTTTAAGTATTTTTCCAAATTTGAAAGATATTCTCATTTTTCTCATTTTTTTTTCTATTTAGGAGTATCTGTCGAAGCACATATCTAAAATCTGCATTTGAAGAAGTTATTGGAGTCTGTTTTAAAATGATTTTGATATTTAAGAAAGAAATCAGATATAATAAAAACATCGTCTTGTGCAAATTTGAGTTTTCGAACCAATAACCCTAAATCTAGCTCATAATGTTCCACTTAAAAATTATCATGTAAAAGCAAATCAGATGCATAACAATCAGCTAACGATTAGCTGGGTGAATAGCTTATGACTCATGCACTTCAACCGGCAGATTCGAACTGCTTAATTATAAAAGTATAAACTACGAAAAGAACTATGCTAAGAGGTTGTTTTCAGTTAAGCTTTGTATGGACTGTATTGTCTCGTTGTTTGAAAGAGGGTTTGGGAATAAAGAAATACCGTATGAAAGAAGAAAGAAGGAAGACATGGATGAAATATTCATGGCTTAATGGATACAACACCTTTCATTTGAGTCATCAAGGAGTTGTTTGGTTAATTTTTCCATTAAGTCATATATGGATAAAACCGTCTATATATATTAATATGTCTGTATAAATTGAGAAGATTTTTGTTTAAGATGGTTTTTTTTTTGGCTTTACACATATACCTTCCCCCTAGAAGCTTATTGAATAAGTCATTTTCTATATAATTAAGTCACTACCAAACAGTCATATATGACTGACCAAGTAAGTTGTGAATCCATTAAGCTCATTAAATTGCTAACAAACAGACTCTAAACCATAACTGTATAACTATATATGACCTATCGAATAAGCTATATAACTCATTAAGTCGTTACCAAACAAGTAATATGAGATACTTGAATATAAAACTTACGATTACTAAATAAATAATTACATAATAATAATATAAAAGATTATATATTTATATAATTAAAAAAAAAGTTGTTTTTTAAATGAAGCAAGTGCCACTTATTTTATTATATATTTATGGCCTTCTCTTAATTATTTATATTAATTTAAAAATCAAAATAATTTAATTAGTTTGTGCATTGTTTCTTGTCAAAGTACACATCTGGATCCATATGGGATTAAAAAACTCAAATTATTAACACAAATCAATGTTACCGGTTTTTATATAATAACTAATTAAAAAAATTAAATAATTTGTTTTGATATTAATTAAAATAAATGAATTTTCTTTCACAATTTAAAAAGATATTAACCAAAGGGTCTTTGGTCTAGCGGTATCGTAGTCTTTGTTCTCTTAGTAGGTCAGGAGTTCAACTCTCACCGAAGGTGAGAAAGATATATGAGTTTATTTATTGCATTTGTCGTATATAAATATATTTAGGTGACTAAAAATAAATCTATTTTTTAAGTTTATTAAAAAAAACCAGTCTGCTACTGAATTTGTGACGTATTAAATAATAAGATTCAAAAAAAATATTGGTAAGTTTTTATGATTATATTTAAATACGATAAATTAAACTGATGCATATTTTTTTTAGTTCTAATGATACTTGAAATATTGATCTTTAAGGGTGCGTTTGGTACACTGGATAGAACAAGACATGACATGACAGAACAAGACAAAGATCTGTGTCACATGTTTGGCATGACTTTTATGTAGAATAGATATGAACAAAGTGGAACAGACCTGTTCCACCCCTAACCCATGGAACATAAGGTGGAACAAACTTATATTATACCAATATAACCTTAAATTAAAATTAAATTCTCTTCTAAAACATCAAATAGTGTCCATTTTTTACATTTTATTCATTTTTAAAAAATTTCTTATTGTATTTTATGGCTTTAAACTTTCATTTTACTGTTATCAAAATATTATTTTTATACGATTTTTATATTTTTATTAATTTATGTAATTTATTATGTATTAATAATAATAAAATACTGTAGAAAAGAGATAAAAATAAAAATTGAAAACTACATAAACTTTTTATTTTATGTCATTTTAATTATTTTGACGAAAACTTTCTAATTTTGTTATAAAAAATAATTATTCTATTATAATTTAATAAATTATAAAAAATAATTAAAATAAACAACTCATCAGGGGTAAATTGGTCATTTTATTTGTTCTGTTCTGTCCAACTTTATCTTATCAAACATTGAACTGTTGTTCTATCATATCTTGTTCTGTCTAGACACCAAACACATCCTAAAAGATTTATTTCAAGACTTTTTTTTTTGGTAGGAGGTGTTTGTCGTCTGATCATGTTGATCTAACCACCTATTAACAAATTAAACAAAAAATGTTCATAAACAAGTTTATCGA